GGCGCAGTTCGCTGTACAGTCTCCGCGAAGATGAATTTGCAGTCCAACTCGTCAAACAGGCGCAAGACGCCGAAGAGCGAGTGTGCCAGCGTGGAAATGTCCGGCCCAAGGTGAACGTTGTACAAAGTGACGGGGGTGTTATTCGCAGTGATTGTCGCAGCTGAGGTGCTTGGTGCATAGACAGAGTTTGAAAGTGCTTCGGGATAGGCGCTCGTGGATGGGAGAAATGTAGAAATCGTTTTGACTGGCAGTCCAGCAAAGGATGGCCAGTGGCATGATATGATTCCACCCCTGATTTCCTGAGGCTCCTCCTGTCCATCCACACCAGTACACGATCGGTAGTTGCCAGCAGTCAACTCATCCAGCTTGTCTGCCACACGACCATTTCGTACGGCGTTCTCAGAAAACAGAATCAATCGTCCCATTGGCGCGTAGTGTCTGTACTTCATACCTGGAGCGCGAGGTGCACCATTCACGTCGTCTTCGTAAGTGACAAATCCATCGATGTGGGTCACACTTGCGCTTCCTGAAGATGCGGACACGCCCAGGGAGGATGGCGTCGACGCGGTCGTGGTGGCAGTAGAGTCATCCCTTCTGGGCTCATCCGACGGTCCTGAAGATTGCCTCTTGTATCCGATCGCCGTCCTCGCCCATTTATTGCCCATTTCGACCCCAAGGCTTCTCAATTCCTCCATACTCACACCTCCTGGCCTCAAGATTAGTGGCGGATCATGCAACCCATCCACTACTGTGCTCTCTACACCAACCTCACAACCCCCACCATCTAATACGAAATTGATCTTTCCGTTTAAATCGTCTAAAACATGTTGTGCTGTCGTTGGGCTTGGCTTCCCAGACGAGTTCGCACTCGGCCCCGCGATGGGTCTGCCGGTTGCCGCGATAAAGAAGCGAGCGTATCTTGACGATGGAATGCGAAATCCGATCGTCGATTGGGAGGGATGCACGTTTCTTGCAAAGATTCCCGACGGCGGCACTGGGAGGAGGATCGTCAGAGGGCCCGGCCAAAACCTCTCTGCTACTGGCAAGTAAATCTCCGGCAATGGCTGTCCGGTCACCTGTTCCAGATGCTTGATACTAGAGACATGGACGATGAGCGGGTTATCGCTGGGTCGACCTTTTGCGGCAAAAATGCCCGAGACAGCAGGTTCGTTTGTTGCGTCCGCGCCGAGACCGTAAACGGTTTCTGTGGGAAAAGCCACTGGAGGGGCAATACCGTGTCGGATGGATTCAACGGCATCCCGGAGCAACCTCGCGTTACTGGCTTTGCGGCGTGGCGGCGACAGGATGTACTTGAGATAGATGGCGCGGTACTCTTCATCCGTCGCATCTTCGGGGAGGTCGAGGTCGCAGAGGTCGACGATCCGTGTGGAGCAATGTGTGTAGGGCATAGCGGCCAGGTGGGAGCGATTATTGATAATACTCCTCATTGTGGCGCTCGATGTCGTCCTGTAAAGGGTGGAAAATTGTTTCAAAGAAGAATTAGAGCGGAGATGTGGTCGTAGAAGAAGTCTCATCAAGATGTATCAGCCAGGCCGCCACCAATATGAGCTGCTCTGACACCGACAGGAGCGTGAATTCAGGACAAGCGGAAAATCGACAAGGCTCAGCATATTGAACCACTCTATGCGATGGCTCAAGAGCTGTGTGTCAGGGTCCGCTGTACAATCGAGCAAGTCAGATCATCCGAGACATACTGCATACAGTAATCAGGGATATATGAAAAGACATGAGATTTGTATGCAGACAGGCAAAAATGAGAAATGACAATTGAGATGGAAAAAAAAGTCCCAGGCAGATTATCGGAGTAACGTCGGGCCGGGATTGTATATCACGTGCATATACAGCCTTGCATGTGAGGCTTCGACGCAGCCTTGTCTCCTCGTTTATGGTCGACCACCTTGTAGCCTTGGGGCACCATGCTATGGTTTTCTTGTCTATGTCAGCTCTCATTGCGCCGCTCCACACCCATACAATGAGACACAGCTTTGGAGTTCCAGCCAGCTTCCCATGCGTGCTCCCATGGATCCGCCCATTCACCCTCAGACGGTTACATTGCTCTTCGCCATCAATTCCGCCACCAAGTTCCAGTATTTCACACGGCTCCGCTCCCTGAGGCTCTTACCAAAGAAAATCATGACCAGAAAGACTGAAGATGCCGCCATTCCAATAAAGGCAGCGGAGATGAAGCAATTCTGCAGACCAAGGTTGTCTAGCCAAGGAGTGATTCCGTAACCAATGGCAAAAGACATGGTATTGCGAACCAGGATCACTGTTGTCATCGCATCCGCGCTGATTTCGTGGTATGTATCAATAAGATAGTTGACGCTGAGAGTGATTCCGAAACAGCTCGAAGCGGCCAAAGAACCCATAGCGAAGACCAACCCAAACCAATGGACGTGATGCGCGGCGCCTACCCCCCAGAGAATGAGGGATGCAGGAACAATAATGATGCACGCTGCAAAAGGCCAAAGACGATGCTCCGGCTCCATGATGCCTTTGTTGCGACGTGCGAGTCTGATAGTGAGCCAATCGCTGAAGCGGCCAGTAAAGAAGCATCCGACCACGACACCGATCAATGTGCTGACGTATGAAAGCCCGACCATGGAGGCTTTGAAATTGTAGGGTGGACCTCCCAAAATGATGCTTGCCGTTGCGTTCAGGACATTGAACCAGATCTGTCAAGTTGCGATGTCAGGATAATACTTCCATTTCGGCTCACAAAGAGGTCGGTAGTCAAACTCACAAGATAACTGCCATAGCTAAACCCAGCATAGAAGATGACAGGCCAGCTCAAGTAACCCAGCGATCGCAAGGCTCTTGTCCAAATTTGTTCCCCAGGCGATGTTTGCCACAGTGACAGTTTCTGTAAGTATGTCTTGTTGCTGCCATAAACCAGGGTGCCGCTCTCAACGTTGTCAGAAGCCTCGTTGACAACATCCGGCGTCTTTTCCGTCGCCTTCTCATCTTTCGTGGCAGAGATGGGTGTCTGGCTGCCGCTGGATGTCTCAACTACGCCCACTGTAGATCGCGTATAGTTCGTCTCCTCCATGAAGAAGAAGCAAATGACCAGAGCCACGCCAAGGAAAATGGCTGGCCAGTAGAAAACCCATTTCCAACCCTGGTCGTCAGCGATAAATCCACAGATCACGGGCGCAAAATAGTTGCTCCCAGCCAGGAAGAACGCATAGATGCCCATATATGTTCCTCGCTGGTGCTGAAAGTATACATCCGTCACAGAGACTTCAGGAAGGCTCTCTATGGGCGCAGCCATGAAACCTCCGACTATATTCTTTGCAATCCATACACCATTGCCGCGGGCGTATGGACCCCACAACGTACAAGCGATTGTCCCGCAGATGGAGAGAAGATAGGTTAGACGCTTGCCGTATCGCAAGGCGAAGGGTTGCCAGAAGAGCAAACCCCAACCAGCAAGAAGAAACAGATATCCTGTGCCTTGGTTGAGAGTGCTGATGGAGACCCCAGAAGCCTCAGAAAGAGGAACAAGAACCGAATAGACCACAGAGTTGGCAATTCCAACTACTAAGGTGTATCTGCCAGGCGTCAGTGCCTTGTCTTGCGATCGTAACGTGGTATGGGACATACATGTTGACTGTTATGGTCAACATGAGCTTTCGCTTCGGCGACCAGTTCAGAGGATCGTCAGGATCGTTTGATGGAGTGGGTACCAAAACAATGTCCTTGTCCCCCGATCCAGCATGCCGGGTATGCATGTTATGCTCGATGTCCACAAGGTGGACTGTCCCCGGGATTGTGTCAATTGGCAAGTCATAATGCGCCATGTCGCTGAAGGTTGTAGAGGTTCGATGATGAAGGGAAAGAGTGAAAGGATGAGGAGTGAGGAGGCTATGAGAGTAGAAGAGGAAAATTGAGCTGAAGATCTTCATAGGATCGCCATCACGAGGGTCGCACTGATTTATGTGTCTGTGCACCTGCCAGCGCCAATGTCCGCGCTAGAAGATCCAGGCATAGCATTTGCATAGACCAGAGATAGACGATTCGACACGCAATCTCCTCGATAAGAGCAGCAGTCTGCGGAATAGACCCAGGCGAATGGCTCCTAAGGTAGAGATGAAATGAGAAAGCCTATGAAGATGCAATGTAGAAAGATAAGGGAGTTGTGATCTCCGTATGCTCTCGGTTGTCCCACACGGATGTACCACATGGTAGACCGTGAAACAGGTTTCTGTACTGACGCAGAACGGGAACTGGTGAGGGAATATAGTTGACCACCATTGGGGTTGCGATATGCACGTCACCGCCACCGCAGGGACACACGCGGTCTAGCAGTACACACGTTCCCAGGCTGGCCGCGATAGGGGAATCATACGCTTGCCTTGGCTGGTTTCCACAATGATTTGGACAGGGAGATGTTGATATCGGATTCTTGGAGACCTCACCTCGCTTTCGCAACGTCCATGGCTTTCGCTCCGTGTGGACTAGGTACATAAAGGCTGCCGGCCAGTTTCAAAGCCAGTGGTGAACTCTCCTGCCTGTCCAGACTTTCTTGCGGAGGCCAGTTTCCGGGGATCGTCCGAATCCTTCTCTGCGCTATCATGTCTGATTGGTGCTGGGTTGGGGCGACAGTTAAGAAGAGGCCGCTCCACCCCAGATCGTAGCCCGAAACAAGCTTCGCGGAATTCCGTGTGATTGACCAGTCTCTATGTGCCGGCGGAAGATATCATCCTGTTCCATCAACACCCAAAGGACTTGGACATGCTATCAGAAGGCGCTAAGAGCCTAGACAAGCAAACACTTGATACTGTGAAGGCATGTCCCTTACCTGATCTGACGAACCTCCAAAGCCAGCTAAGTTTCCGTGCCTCTGTTCGAGCTTCCCCGCTTTGTGGTTGATTTCGGCCAAACCAGAGGGAGAAGATAGATAAAGCAGTACACCCTTGACTGATGTTGAGTCCTCGACCTTCTGGTAATTATTTCTCGAGTACCTGAGCAACGCTGCAATGGGCGAGCATTGGAGTGACTTGGTGGCGAAGAAACGCGCTGCCGGAGCCAAAGCTATACCCGCAGAATGGCGACTGGCTCCTAGCATCCTAGAATCTGTCAATGCCGACTCTGATATCAGCGTCCTTGAAGTTCCCGCAACCTGTGGCCTTCTCACCCCCAAGGAGCTCGAGATCACCGAAAAGTATGACGCTGTCGATCTGATAGCCAAGATGGCCGCCAAAGAGCTTTCCGCGGTCGAAGTCACTCAAGCCTTCTGCAAAAGAGCTGCTGTCGCTCACCAAGTGGTCAGTACCAAGTGTGTATGTTGAGCTGCTCGATTGCTAAGAGACCAAGACGAACTGCTTGACAGAGATTTTCTTCGATAAGGCTCTCGAAAGAGCCAAGTATCTCGACGATTATCTGAACAGAGAAGGTAAGCCAATGGGGCCATTACATGGGATGCCAATCAGTCTGAAGGTATGGTCCGAAATTTCCCCAGTAGGTTCATTGCTCAATGTCGTGGTCCATAGGATTCCTTCAACCTGAAGGGTACATATTCGACAATCGGTTACGTCTCGTTCATCAAACGACCAGCAGCGGACTTTAACTCACCTTTGGTTGATATCCTTCTTCAGAATGGCGCCGTGCTTTATGTCAAGACCAACCTACCACAGACATTAATGACGGCCGACTCTGAGAACAACGTCTTTGGTCGGGTGCTGGTGAGCGTCATGATTTAGGGTCACAAACACTTGGCTTATCTGCTCCAGAATCCTCACAAGCTGAAGCTCACTGCCGGGGGAAGCAGTGGAGGGGAAGGCGCCCTTGTTGGTATACGAGGCTCAATCCTGGGTGTCGGAACAGACATTGGAGGATCGATCCGAATCCCTGCCTTGTGTTGCGGAACATACGGCTTCAAGCCGTCGGTTGATCGCATTCCTTTTGGTGGCCAGACAAATCCGGTGCTCGATGGCTGGACCGGCATAATGCCAGCAGCAGGACCGTTGGCCACGACAGCCCGCGACTTGCGACTGTTTCTGGAAACCGTCATCAACTCGAAGCCGTGGAACTTGGACTATACCGCTCTTGCTATGCCATGGCATCCCGTTGAAGAAAAAAAGAGTCTAACGATTGGTGTCATCCTCGAATGTCCCACATGGCTTGTCCAGCCACCAATCCTGCGAGCATTGAAGACAGCGGCTGACAAGCTGAAGCAAGCTGGTCACAACATTGTAATGCTGGAAAACTTTCCATCGTTCAAAGAAGCCACAGAGCTATCCTGGAGTTTCTTCGACATCGATAACGAGTGTACCGGATTCAAACATATCGAAGCTTCGGGCGAGCCATGGGTTACCTCTGTCAAGGACTTGTACACGCCACCACCTGAAGGCCGCCGCGACAAGACTCTGGGTGATTTACTGGATATGAATGAGAAGCGTCTCAAGTTCCGAGCTGACTGGTTGAAACTCTTTGTGGCAAACAAGTTGGATGTTATTGTGGCCCCAGGATCGCATAAGACCGCCGTACCTCATGACACCTTCAGGTATCCGCCGTATACAGTCATGTGGAATCTCCTTGCGGTAAGTGAAAAGATCGGCAGTATGCCGGCACGGAATATGTGGCTGATAATCTCGAGCAGTACCCTGCCTGCATTATCCCGTATCTCAAAGCGGACAAGAATTTGGACCTTCCCGATCCAAGAATTCCAGACTGTAGGTGGCCACTGAAGCACGCATTGTGAAGTCTTTAGTCTGACAGATGGCAGATCTTCCAGAGGCTGTGCACAACGCGCCTTGTCACATTCAGGCTATCGCTAGATCTGAGCACGACGAAGAGCTAATGTCTGCCGTGGAGCTGATATCCGCCGCCCTAGGCATCTCGTAAAAGTGAGGACTCAAGAGTCTGTGTAGATGGTGGTGAAGCCGTATTGTGGCTTGAAAGGCACATCCGTATCGAAGGTAGTGTCAAGGTATAAACCTCTGACGAAGTATCTTCGTTCAGTAATCACGATTTCTTTTTGTACGTGTCGACAGCCAGCCACGGGTTCTCAGAACAATCCTCTCGCAATCAGGCCAAGAGAGTTTTCAGGCTTTTGCGAGCAACAAACCAACCTTTCCGCAGCTGGGCGAACAAATTCCGCTCCTCTCTGGCCTGCCGTGCCAGCGACACTTGAGGGACTAGGTTTGTCGCTTGCCACCGATAGGCCAATCTCTCAATGCGGGGAGAAAGCCCACATGGGGCCTAGAATTTTGACTGATTAGACCTCCGTGCCATCCATTGATAAGGACTGAAGATGTCGACTTCAGTTGTTTAGGATGTGCCAAACCTAAACTCTTCCCTGTAGAGGCTCCCTCCCTCGCATTTCAATGGATATCTCAGGCATATTGAGCCGCCCACCATGAAATATTGACATGCATCGAAGCCGCGCAAGTGCATTTTCTGGTGGTATGGCACGTCAATCCAATGCCACGCTGCGGACCAAGACTGGATGTTTGACCTGTGAGTGCAGTTGTATCTGGTGGAGCCAACTGTAGCTAACAGGACTTTAGGCCGCATGCGACGGAAGAAATGCAACGAAGTAAGGCCCAAGTGTGAAAAGTGCATTAAATCCAACCGAGTGTGTACTTGGCCTGCCGAAGACGAGTTGTTCGACCGGCGACATAGGCGAACTTCGAGGTCTCCCGCATCACCGTCGCCGGCTGAGTCGCCAAAAAGCATCACGGTTGTAAGGCGCCTCTCGAGCAGCAGCAAAGACAGCGTAGGCACTGATGCATCACCATTCTTTGTTTGTCGCGAGATCTCTTTCAACTCTGACCTCTTCAATTCGCCCATGCTCAAATCCGACCTTGAAGTTGCTTGTTGTCGCCACTTTCTCGATGGGTTCCTCCCACTACTCATACTGTCCAATACGCATCCAGGCTTCCAGTCCCAGCTGATCCCGGAGATTGTGGGAATGCTTCTGCAATTTGAGGGCATGAAAGACGTTGCGCTGGCTTGTGGTGCGTCACGAATGCATCTTCTCACCGGAAGTGCGCAAATGCATGAGGCCGGACTCAGATACTATGCTCGTGCCGTGTCTGAGGTCAATCGCTCTCTCAGCACCATCGACTGGGGTCGAGATGATTTCAATGACGCCCTGCTAGTGGCCATCATCCATTTATACATCCACGGGGTGAGTTTTCCCTCGTGCATTCGAAAGCGGTCAAAAAAGCTCTGCAGATGACGGAGTCAACTAATCAAGGCTTTATGCGAACAGGTCTTCGATATTGGGACCAACAAAGACATCGGCAAGCATGTCAGGGGAGCAATCCAGCTCATGAAACTCCGATGGACGCATTCGCGAAGACCTCCTATGCCACGCCCGATTCATCGTATCATTTGGGAAAGCATCCTTTATCAAGTCTTTCGCCGGACGGTCAATCGGCCGTTTGCCGTAGATTTTCAGCCCGACTTTGAGTTCTGCGCACGGGCACAAGAGACGCTGCAGTCCTTGACATTTCCGGACGCTTCACCTGCCGACAATAGCCCCGTGATAGGTTTCCCTTTGGCACTCCAAAAGTTGATTATTGAGATTGTCCAAGTCTGCAAAAGCCCAACGAAAGCCGAGCCTGAATTACTAGATGTCCTCGGGCGTGAAATGTCATTTTGGGAGAAGACAATCCTAGAAGAGGGTCATTGCGTCAAGGAATGCGACTCGTGGTCAGTGGGAACAGCTGCCGAACGAGCCCGTATCTTCCACCAACACTCGACCAGCTTGCACATTCTCGCGGCCTCCCTCCTCCTGGACTGGGTATCCAGAGCACATGAGGTGTCGGAGACTACATCTCCGCTTCCACCAGTGGTCTATACATGGCAGGTTCAGAGGGGCCTGGAGATCTTGCAGTGTCCACAAGCCAATGAAGAGTGGTCGAGGTGTTACCTTGGATCGTGGCCAACCTTGATATTTGGCTATGCTGTTGACAAGCCCGAGGACATCGCACTCATCCGACGTGACTTAAGGCAACGGTTCCAACAGCTGTATTCAGGGGAGGAGTTGCTTTTCCTGGAGGAGCTGGAGTCAGTCTGGCGTACGCGGGGGGTTTCGTGAATGGAGGAGTTACGACGAAAACGTTTATCTTGCAGACTGACATGACAGTAGCTTTAACCCGTCATATTTTGATCGGAGTTTTGGGTTGATGTACCTCGTACTCCCTGTTTTGGCGGGAAATTGATGGTGGATGGAACGCGACTGGCGGCGCGCAGACACACCGGGCGCAGGCAAAGGCCCGATGGGCATCAGGGCGCAGTTTGCGCATTTCACCTGTATCACTCGTAACTACTCGGTACACGGCAATCAAATAAACTCGTCACTACCAACCTACTCACCCAGTTCAGCATTCATTACCTGCCTACCTAGGCACCTAGGCTTGCAAACGATCACCTGGCATCGGTCGCCGCTTTGACGGCCAAGCAGTGTTATTACAGAGGCGCCTCGGCAGGCCTCGAAACTGTCCTCGGAGATGCCACAAACAGGGCCCGTCACCCACCCTCCATTCTCCATCGTCCTTTGACCCGCCAGCCCGCCGAGCTGTTGAATCTGATTTGGCTTTCTACCACCCGAACGACCCTTATTCCTCTTAATCGCTCGTCCCTCCATGTGCCTGAGCCAATGGAATCTCGCAACCTTCCTCGCCGCTTGATGAAGATGCCCAGGTGTTGTAGCGGCCAAAGATCGAAATGCATGCTGACAGTTGTTGCCTTAGTAAACCTTCCAGTCCTGTACGATTCTCTCCAAGATGATACAACCTGAGCTCGTCATAGCTGTTGAGATTGCCATATGTTTGTCAGATTCCCAGTCGGTTTCGAAACCGATGTCTATTCTGGTACAAGCGGAAAGCATCGACGGACGCAGCAATATAAAGGAGACATTGGGAAGGTTGATGCTTCTGGTTCCTTAGCACTCTAACCTCCAGTCAAGGCTCAGCTCCCCAACTTGAATGGTTAACCAGAAAAAGAAAATGTCGTTCTTCGAAGCTGCCTCCTGGCACGAGGGAGAAGTTGCGATTCATAAACGAACTCGTATCAGCGGTTATGACAATCCCACATCACCCTTCCTCACGCCTCGGGCGGCGAGCATGATTCAGCGGTACCCCATGATGGCAATAGGGACATTGGATGATCAAGACAGACCCTGGTGCACAGTCTGGGGCTCCGATCATCTGCCAATCGCACAGCCAGTAGCTCAGAGCGTTCTGGGCGTCCGCACGACGGTCGATGCGAGTTTCGACCCCGTGATTCAAGCCATTTACAATGGTAAAGATGACGGGGAAGTGATCCGAGAGGAAGGCAAAACGAGGCTGATGTCCGGGCTAAGTATTCACCTGGAAGAGCGAGGAAGAGTCAAGATGGCTGGCCAAGTCATCGCTGGTGCTCTCACTGCGAACGAACCCGTTGCGCCTATCAGCGTGTCCGACGACGACGCGCTCCTAGGCAAATCAGGCGAAGTACAGCTTGTCGTCAAGATCGATCAAAGCCTCGGAAATTGTCCCAAATATCTCAATAAAAAGCACATCGTTGCTACCGAACCCAAGCCGAGATTATTGTCTTCGTCACCACATCTCACTCAAAAAGCTATCGATTTAGTGCATAAAGCTGACTTGTTCTTTATCGCCTCGGCGCACAAGCACGAGGACATGGACTGTAATCATCGTGGCGGCCCTCCAGGTTTCATTCGTGTGCAGCAACCCGCCAGTCTAGACGAAGGCAGCATCATTGTTTGGCCCGAATACAGTGGGAACAACCTCTACCAAACACTTGGTAATCTGGAAAGCACCCCTCACGCTGGGCTAGTCATTCCTGACTTCGAGTCTGGCGATGTTCTTTATGTAACTGGGGATACTGAGACCCTTGTCGGGGACGCAGCGAGCAAAGTCATTGCCAAAAGCAATCTTGCTGTAAGCCTGAAAGTAACCGGAGCACGCCTTGTTGAAAAGGGGTTGCCTTTCCGTGGCAAGCTGATGGAGGATGCGTCCCAAGGCCGCTCACCATATAACCCCCGTGTGCGATACCTGACCTCGGAGAAAACAGATGCGTTTGGGAAGACCGCTGGTGACGCACCTCCGACGACGGCAAAACTCATCAAGAAAACTAAGATCACTCCTACCATCACCAGATATCGTTTCGCACTGGCTGATCCTGGTGCTTTTGGGCCCTGGAAACCGGGTCAATACGTCGCAATGGACGTGGCAGCCGAGCTGGACATGGGATATTCACACATGCGAGACGACGACCCGACCAGTCTGAATGACGATTATATTCGGACTTTTACTGTCTCATCTATCCCGAACTCTCTTGGACTGCATGGGGAGGAATTCGAGGTCACAGTGCGCGCCGTCGGCCACGTCACCAAATGGCTTGAGTGGCAGCGCGAGGGCATGTGTGAGATTGGCATCCGAGGCTTTGGCGGAGAATTCGCTTTCGAACCAAGTTCCAGGAATGTGTTCATAGCTGCCGGGATTGGCATTACGCCTTTGCTGGGACAGATGGACAGCCTGGATCTCAACAAACTAAAGGTCATATGGAGCGTAGGGATCCGTGATGTCGCATTACCGCTAGACGTCCTCAGCCAGTTTCCCAGTTTGAAAGACTCACTAACAATCTGCCTCACTGGTGACGAGTCACTGTTGGATGAGGAGAATAAGTCACAGCTACAGAACCTGATCGATGCCGGGGTGAAGGTTCTCAGGAGGAGATTGACAAAAGAGGACTTGGTAGTCTTGGAATCGGAAGTTGATAATTGGTATCTATGCACGGCGCCAGCGATGAGAAAGATTGTGCAAGAGTGGATGCCGGGAACGACAATCATCTACGAGAATTTCGACTACTGAGGCGACAGAGGGTTCGTT